TCTGCCTACAGAACTGCAGCCTAAACAATCTGCTCGGAACTGCCGAGAAATCAGTAGAATGTGCTTCTGACTCAGCCTGTTAAGTAGGAGGACTGTTATTGTTATTTTCACTCCTGCCGGAGTATGTGGGCAATTCTCCCTCTTTCTGTCTCTTGTTAGCCATGAAACATCCCTCTTCCAAACCTCACCCCTGGAATATCCAGTTTGAGGTCTGGATGTGACTGCCAGCTGATAGTACAGATGAGGACAGGCTTTCATAAACAAACCATCTGATATCCCAATTTACCAGGAGAATTTATTTTTAGAATGTTAAATCTGCCTTTAAGATTATTCACTTAGAGTGCCACAGACCAAAGCTGATTGCTGATGAGAGAGTAATCAGCACAAGTCAAGGTACTTATTTTTGGCACACATGGTGAAGATACCAGGTTTTCCTTCTCTTTTCCTTAACCGTTGGGGTATTGTGGTTCTACTGTTTGTCTTTCTCTTGCCAAATGTTCTCAACAATGTAAACACTCATCAAGTACTGCTCCTAAGAAATGCTGGAAAAGTAAAACCAAAAAAAATCTTATTTTATAGAAAATTGTCTTTAAAGGCTAAACTTCATCCATCCATGAATGATGTAAAATATAAATCTATCCTGAAAATAAAACAAAATCTAAGCAATGTCAGGTTGTAGCAAATCTTATTGCATGGAGTAACAAAGTAAATATTTTTTGTTCCTTTAAAATGGTTTTCTCATTTCTACCTCACTAATTTGTCTCTAATTTGTGTCTTTGGTACTTTAATTAAAATTCAAGATTGCCGATCAACAGAATAAAGTTTTGTCATGATGTGTAAAATCACATGTCAAAAACATCCATGAAAGCTTTTTCGCATTTCAGAATCACTACACTCTGTGAAGACAAGCTGAAGGACTCTTGAAAAGAGCAACAACCATCACTGATGCTCATTAACAATACTGTGTGTACTTAGCCTCATTTCATAGTTAGCCTCGTGTACCGACTCATTCCATCAGCTGGCAAGGGTCCACCAAAATAAAGACCCACTCTAGACACAGCTCAGAACATCACACAGTCTCTGCTCTCAGCGGGAGGAGAGACTGTTGAGATGATGTCAGGGAGATGGTGTAGAAGACAATGTGGAAGATGATTTATATAGCACCTCCTGTCACAGTAGGAGTGTGGGCATTATTCTGACTGTTATGGGCAGCCATTGGTGAATTTTGAAGAAGAGTCCTACCAATGGATTAAGACCCATTAAAGGTTACACTAAATGAGCAACAAACTATAGATCAGCGAGACTGAGCACAGGGGGCTAGTGCGGTAATCAGGGTGAGAGAATGGCTTCTGATGAAACAGGAAGAGATGATGAGAAACATCAAACTCTGACAGGCATGATTTGGGCACTATTATCTGCTATGAGGCTTAAGGAAGTTAAATAATATGCCCCCAACAGGTGGTGGGGGCTGCAATGACACCCACTCTTGGGGCTGTTCACTACTCTGTAATGTTTACATGGGGCTCTTGCGTCAAAGAAATGCTGATATATCAACCTTTACATTTAGAATTAAATGTAATATGTTTGAAATTTTTAATTCTAAATTTTACAGAACAATTAGTAACATAAGCAAATGACCATAGATTTGCTGTTACAAAGCATGTTCATTCCTGTCATCGCATGCAGTGTAACCTAACTGGCGTGGTTAGACGGAGGCGCATCCGAACAATGTCAAGATAACAAAGTGAAACAGATATACCTAATAAAGTAGTCACATTTATGGTATCACTGAATGAATCGCTGCTGTTCCCAATAGTCTGTTTTCTCACTCTAGGAAGATATTGTGTCTTCCTTGTTTTTCTAACATCAGCCTCCTCAATTTACATAAAAGGACCCCAGTAAATTTTAGTGGAATGAATTAAACAGCTATTTTTGTGTCAAACACTTTGGGTGTTCCCAATCCTTTACCTGGTGGGCAGTATAGCTCTGGAGTCTGAGAGCAATGAGTTTGACTTCAGGCTCTGCAATTACTATATGATTTTGAGTGAGTTACCTGATATATTTGGGCCTCGATTTCCTCATCTGCAAATTGCAATGCACCTTTGACCTGAGATGCTTACATAATATCTTGTGTTTATTCATATTTGCCCAGCAAAGGTTAGTTTACCTCTCCCCCCCTTCCCCAACTCTGCCAGAGTAGTAATTTACTCCTTTTAGAAAATAAAAAGTTACAAGAAATTCTGTATCTATAAATGTTACTACTATTTACTGACATTTATTTCACCTTAAACTCTAGAATTAACTGTCTTAAAAAATTAGAAAACTATTTTTAAAGGGTGCTTTCATGATTTTTGAATGGAATATAAGCAATTAACATTAGGCAAACAAGACTTTTTCTTTTAAGTCTCTTTGACTTTGAGGGTAGTATTTTGTTTTCAAGAATAGTCAGTATTTTTTCTGCAGGGAAAAAAACAGATCTGATTATTGTTATGGCAAAATCTGTGAATCGTGACTCCTGTTAGTTAGCAAGATCCTAACAGCCAATAAAAAAGTGCTTCTCTAATGAGAAAAAATGAAACATAAACCAGATTGGCGTGATATAACGTATTAAGAACTTCGGGTTTCTCATACACAAATCCTAAAGATGCTTTGACAGCCATACTTCAACCGTGCTTGAAGATGTAGCATTAAATCTTCAAAATGATGAAAGTTATTTACAAGCAATATTAAATAATACTATTAAATAATAAGCACCAGACGGTGGAAGGAGTCAACTTTACAACAGTTAGAATGAGTCACCCAGATCTTCCTGTATCGGTGTGGATGGAGCTCTAAATATGATGTTAGACGAAGGCGAGCTGCAAGAGAATATATACAGTAGGTACCATTCAGGTGAGCTTTTAAAATGTACGTAATTATACGGCATATTGTCCCACACACATGTCATTAAAGTAGAGAACACACAAAGAAAAGGTTAGGTCACCGTCAGGACTGTGCACCTTTTAGAAAGAAAGGGAAGGGAGGAGGGTGAGCTTTTTTGCTCTTTCTGCGGTGGTTCATTTCTTCAGAAAAGATTTGACCATACATGGTAATTACTTCGTAAGGTATATAAATGTCTAACCACTATGTTATATACCTGAAACTAATAAAATATTGTACATTAACTAATCAAATATAAATTTTAAAAATATTTGAACTAAGCTGACCACTTAGTTCAGCATTGGCTCAGTCCATATGGTTGATACTTAATTATTTATAACAAACTGTCTATGTTTCTCTTGGAAATTTTGTAAATTTTATTGATTAAAAATAAAATAATAAAGAAATAAAAAGTAGAGCATATATTGCTGTGGCTGATTAAGGTGGGATATTCAGTACCTCTAATAAAAAGAAATTAAATTGAAATGGATTCTTCAGTCTCTAGAATAACAAGTCATACATTTTTATTCCTTCTGTAATATTATTCTGCTTTTATTAAAGGGATTTGGAGTTTAAAGAAAGATGTACAATAAAGGAAACTATTCTTTCTGCTTGTAAACTAAGTATATACCTTTCTTTATTAGTCATGCAACAATGAAAAAGTAGAAGATAAACCTAAAATAAATGTTTGCCTGAGATGGCTTTTTCAGTAAGTTCATTATATATTTTTTCTTCCATAAGTTCGGAGAGAACCAACTCAACACATAAGTGAATCTGACTGCTAGACTTTTCCCCCACGACATGAAACCACCGTTACAGTAACAGCTGGCGCCAGGGTTCTCCCAGCATTTGCTGCTCCCAGACCCACGTCTACAATCCCGGGTGAACCGCATCTACCTGCCTCCTCTCTCTCAGCCTCGTGTGCCTCCTCTGTAAAATGGGGATGATCCCTGTTATTTACTCAGGGTTGCTGCAAGGTTTAAATGATGTAACTTATGCATAGTAAGTCACATAGTAAATGTTGAGTCCGGCACATAGTTAATGTTGAGAAAATACTATTGGTATTGTTAGCCATAGCAGGGAAGACAGGCTTAATTCAATTCTCATTTCAGAAAAAAATCTTTTCATTTGTTTACTATGAAATCATTTAAAAACATTAAGTGCTACTTTTAATTATCTTAACTCTATTAACTGTAGAATTAATGTGTACAAGGAGGGACCCCCCCCCAAAGAATGGAATTATCTTCTGGGGGGGGCTCTTGTAGTACAGGCTTGCCCCGCTAGGTGAATGTTCTGGGAATCGATCTGTATCAGTGTGCCAGCTGGCATTGTTGTGAGAGGCTGCGTTTGGCTTCAGTGAATTTTTTTAAAGACTCTTTCAACACATTTGCCCATTTCATGATGGGTGATTTACAAGTGCACCTGCCCACACTGCACTGACAGTTCAGAAGTTTTTGACCAAAACACAGCACCTTCCCTATTCACCCAATCTTGCCCCAAGAGACTTTTTTTAGTTTCCCAGGATGAAAAAAGTCCTCAAAGAGAAATGTTTTGATGATGTGGAAGAGGTGAAATAAAAAACAGCAGAAGCACTAAAAGGCATCAAAATTGACATGTTCAAAAACTGTTTTGAGTGATGGAAGAAATGTTTCAGTGGGTGTATTGTATCAAATGGAGAATACTTTTTTTTTAAAGGTTTTATTTATTTATTTTAGAGAGGGAAGGGAGGGAGAGCGAGAAAGACAGAGAAACTTAAGTGTGCGGTTGCTGGGGGTTATGGCCTGCAACCCAGGCATGTACCCTGGCTGGGAATCGAACCTGGGACACTTTGGTTCCCAGCCCGAGCTCAATCCACTGAGCTACTCCAGCTAGGGCGAGAATACTTTAAAGGTGACTAAAGTTTAAACATGTAAGAATAAATACACATTTTTAATAAATAAATTCTGAGTTTTTCTGGGTCCTACCTCATATTTCTCCATTATCAAAATAAACTGATATTTAGTAAAGATTTTTAAAAAATATATTGCTGTCATTTTTCACAATTGTGGGCAACTTTTTCATGTAGAGAGAATGAAGCTTACCTATTCAAGGAAGTAGTAAAATGGTAAAGCTTGTTATGTTGTGTTCTCAAAGGGTTAATAATAAGTTCTGGCTTCCTTCTGTAAAAAAAAAAAAGAAAATTAGTAACTTACTCTCTGATCCATGTAATTAGTAACTTACTCTCTGATCCATTAATTACATTATGTATATAAATACCAAATTCAACTCATGTCTTTCTCTTTTTACATTGGATAACTATGAGTCCATGAGATAAATTTCATGGTGGTTCTTTACAGTCGTAACGTTGAGTATTTACAAGCTGTGAGGTACTCTTTTAGGTGTTTGGAATAGAGCAATAAAAATGTTCATTGCTGCATACTTTCCCTTGCTTTTCAGCTTTAATTCCAGTGAAGTTACATAAGTATTATATCCAAGAAAAAAATAAAATTTTAAATTGCTTAAATTGTTTTCAGCTAATAAATAGCAAGCATTTGTATTCTCTCCTAAGAGAATGTCTTCTTCCTGGTAAATTGTTAATTATACTCAGTAACTTTCAAATGACTGGGCCTCTAGCCCAGTTTGTACTGATGCTCTCCAGCATAGGATGGAGAGGTCCTTTTTTCTTTTTTAATGAATTAAATTTTTCTCTATAGATACTAAACTTATTCTGACATTCAGAATCCTAAAAGTCATTCTGGATTAGAACTTCTGCTTAGAAATTCCATGAGAACAATATAGAATACTCCTTACTAATATGGTACCTAGAAAAATACACAATTCCTAGAAGGCACCAGGCTGGTTTTGTACTTAGTAAGCCATTCAGGTGGGGTCCTCTTGATCTACAAAGGGTGAACCACACATACATAACTGTCTTTACACACAAGGGGCAGAGTTGAGGCCCATTTTGAAGTCCCGATGTCTTACAGGAGGTCTCTAACTCTACGCGTCTCCTTGTGCTTTCACCAGGGGCTGTGCAATTTCACCCCAGGTAGGGCTGACCCCACCATATACTCAAGGAAGGTATTGCTTTACAGGAAGGAGCCCTGAGGCTTAAAATGTGAAATTTTAGCTATTAATTCTTCTTCAAGGCCCAATGGGAAATGTAAACTTGGTGAGACAAGAAGCGGGTTACTCCATTCTTCACGACCTTTCTGGGAATAGTGTCTGTATGGATCTGAGCAGACCAGGGTTTGGCTCAAAACAGCAACCACTGCCTGGCTCGGCCCTCCCTCCATCAACTGCCTTTACGTGGAGTCAGTTTGTTTACTCTGTCAGGAAGTCACGCATGACGCGCAGTGGAGAACAAGTCTGTTAATGCGCATTAAAGGTAGAAAGGCTTAATGTTTTAAAAAATAAGAATATTCTGTAAGGCAAGAAAAAAACACAGTAAATTCTCTATTCTCTCAAATTCTCTATTCCCTCAAATAATTTGATAGTTATTTTAGGAAAAAAACTGACCACCCAGACCTCTGAATGCAGTTGTTTTATTGGTTTTGCTTTTCCCATTTAGTCCAGCTCAGTGGTCCTCACATTTGCAATGTATTTATAAATGACATTATAAATTTATCAATTTACATATGATATGTATATTTATGTGATATTATTATACAAAATAACATACTATTTAAACAATTTTAAGAATAGCTTTTAGTAAAAGCAAATTATACCTTATAGGTTGATTTTAAAACAAATAAAATGGCAGACCTTTTTCCAATAAAGAGAGTCTTTGGGTATTTAATCAGTGAATGCTGAATAAAATACCATGCCTTATATCCTTCTTAAATTCCTTAAATTCCTTATATTCCTTAAATTCCTTAATGTGTATATTTCTGCCCTTCATTCGCATGGTTTTCCAGCTCACATACACCCTTGTGTATACGTGTGCAAGTACAGATCAGATATGTGTGCATGTATCATTTACCCTAGTCAAAATAAAGGGAAAAAAAGGTATTCTATAGAGTGGGGGTCAGCAGACAGTGGACCGTAGAAAAGATCCATCTTCCTGCTGTCTGTTTTCCTAAACACTGTTTGTTGGCACACAAAGCATGCCCATTCACTTCCGTGTTATCTACAGCTGCATTCCAGCTACACCGCCAGGGTGATGGAGACTGGGTGGCCCTTTGTGTCCACGTATGACCCGAAATAGTTGCTGCCCGGCCCTTTGGAAAACATCTACTGGCACCTGTTACCAAAGAGCCTGTTCATCATTTGAGGAACATTAAAACAATATTGAAACATAATGTCCTATCTTTTACAGCCTTTCCAAAATTAACTCAATCATTACATACAAATGAAAGTAAAATTTCAGCCTTAAACACATAAAGGCTGATTTCATTCCAACAGAATTTAGAGATTATTGGGCAAAGAATGGGATGACTGTCAGAAAATTGAGAGTACCAATTTGTCAGAAAAATAATGGCCCATTGATCCATCATCTTGACCTTTGTGTTTCTTTGCTATAAACTTAAAATGACTATTTCCTAGACTTTATTTTATGATAAAGAGATAAATGTCAAAGGCATATAAAATTGAAGTTATTTTAAATTAATACAGTGCAGTTGGAAGTGATCATTTTTATTTCATATAAAAAGGATTAACTTACATTAACATAGTTTTTTTTCACTAAGAGTATCATTTGGCACAGTTTTAGTATTTGTTACATTATGTACAGAGATTACCACATCCCTAAAACAATATTAGCCAACATTTATACAGCATTTTTTACGTGCCAGAAAATATTTGAAGCACTTCCTATAGGATTAGTTCATTTATTCCTCACTATTACCCTCTGAGATAGGCAACTATGACTATCCCCACTTACCAGGTGAGAAAACTGAGGCCAAGGCTTTAAGTGCTACTCCCAGCATGACCCAGCTAGAAAGTGGCTAACCTTTCAGCCATGTGCAACTCTTTATGGGCCCTGAGAGTTAAAGACCTTTTCAAGAAAAAACACTTTGTGACTCCTCTGAGAAGTGGTATTTCAAGAACAGCCACTTTCAATTTACAATTTCTAGTAAAAGCACATATATTATTGAGCATATTCAGTTTCTTGAACAAATTGAAGTTTACTCAGCTGCCGTTCTGCCTCTGTTCTCGACTCCGTGTTTTCCATCAGGTTTGCTTGGGCCACTTTCCAGAACCTCTTAGAGCTGGGTCTCACACGACTGAGAGTCGAGACTGGTGACACCTGACAAGGTCATTTGACAACTACATTTAAGGGCTAGCCTGCAGGTGACAGAGAACAGGAGGGGCACTGGCATCACAGCGTCAGTGGGAGAAGCCAGTTTATGAGGAGCCCAAGATCAGCACTTGTTTAGCTATAAACAAAATCTGTTTTTATCAGGTGGTTACTCAAATAAATAAGATGTACATACAGTAAACTTAGGCTGCACAGAATACATGTTTGGCTGTCGGGATATTTATGTGCTAGGTATGTGACACCTATAGCATTAAAGTTAGAATGATAAGTTTATTTTAGAATCTTGTGAAGAACATATTGCCAAGGTATGGTTTTTTTTTTTTTTTTTGGTCAACTGATATGAGAACCATGTTTAATTCATTAAGCAATAAAGTCGAGACAAAATCTTCCCTGGATTGCTAGGCCAGGATATACTTTTTTATTAACCTATGAAACATGACAGCATAAATATCATTTGGTTATTTTTCACATTTTGATAGATTCTGTCGGATAAGCTAAACACCGAGATGCTTGAAGTTGCTGCAATCCCAAATAGTAGAAGGCGACCCTCAACCTCATCGGCTGGCATTAGCCCACTTGGCGAGCTCTCAGATAAACAATAGTGTTGCCCTCTACCTCCTCTACCAATCTGCACTATGAGATTTTGAACAATTCGTGTAATTTAGTGCACTTGTCCAGGGTAACAAGATTTCAGCTACTGAGAACTGAATTGCCAATACTCCTGGGAAACTACCCACCACGCTAGCAGTCTTTGAATAGAGCGGTGACCAACATAAAATCACCTAGTCTAACACGCTACACCATTTCTATCCCCTAATAGGTTTAGAAGCAGTTCATTCTCACTACTTATGTGTCAGTAGCAGAAAGTCACAGTAAACCAAAACCACTGATAGTTGATATCAGAGAAATATTCCCTTCTTGGGTTTTCCTTTTAGGAGAATGTTACATTTCCTATTGCCAAGGACTAGCAGACAGGTTTAAGCCGATTTAGTAGAAATAATCCAGTCTTGTTCAAAGCATCTCAGCATAGTTTAAGGCTTAAAAATGGGTGCAAGTAGGTGAAGGAAAAAGGACTGAGTGAGTCAGAAAATTCAGGTGCAAATCTCCGAGTCTTTAAGATTTATGTCTTGTTCACACAAATCCTGACAGGAGTAGGGAAACTCCCCAGCTCACCTTCCTTTCCCCCCTGCAGTCAGCCAGCAATCGGGCTCTGTTCTTCCCGTGGCTCAACTCAGGGCCTCCGGGATCATGGAGGGCCGAGGAAAACACCCGGAGGGCTGCGCAGGCAGGGGCTCTCGAAGGCTTTCCCACAGTAGTGCACACATCACCTCCCCTCAGAGCTGCCTGCACTGAACTAACCACATGGCTCTGCCTAAATGCGGAGGATGGAGAAAGATGCAGAATAAATGGAGATGTGTCCGGCAATGAAAATCTCTACTGTAAGAATGAAAGAGGTGTATGTCCAGTAGCTGCTTTAGGTTGTGTTTAGATTCATTACTTTTTGAAGAGTGAAAAGAAATAATGCTGAGATGTCAGCTAAAAGCTTTTTATGTATGTATGTATGTATGTATGTATGTATTTTTAGAGAGAGGAGAAGGGAGGGAGAGAGGAGGAGAGAAACATCGATGTATGAGAGCAACATCGATCAGTTGCCTCTTGCGCATGCCCCAGCTGGGGACCAGGCCTATAACCCAGGCTTGTGCCCTGACCAGGAATAGAACCAGCGACCTTTCACTTTGCAGGACAATGTCCTGCCAACTGAGCCACACAAGTCAGGGATAAAAATTTACTTTGCTAAATTGTTAACACATAATGGCTCTGAAAATATATCAATATAAACAAACATTTGCTTTTACAAGTGAACACTGTAATATAGACAACCTTAGGCAGCAAGGGGGCACCCGTGTCAGTGTTCTCACT